TGGCCAGTAAACGAAACACAAGGAAACAATTTAGAATAACTTTATTTGCTAAATATTCTGTAATTGCTTGCAAAATATGGTATATGTTCTTCAAAGGCATAAAAGGAAAAAATGTGTGAAAATAATAACCTAAGTTAGTGTTTCCTAGCTCTCAGTAAGGAAAGACTAAAAAAAACCAGAGGAACTTGATTTTATAATATTCACTTTTTAGTGTGACTAAGAGCCTATTATGTAGATGTTAACCTTAATATAAATGGATACCAATGTTAATCGAGAGCAGCTAGCATGCAGTGGTAAAATATGAGAGTCAGATGGTAAATTTGTTATCTTTTTGCAGTCTGTATATTTCAAATATTAATGTAAAAATAGACCTGAAATCCTTAAAAAAATATTTCACATGGTGGCATAACATGAATCAGAAATGAGTGTAAGTTATTCACAGTCAAGAGAGCTTAAATAATGGGGATTTTACTTCAGTGTGTACTTTAGAAGCTGCCTTTCACTGCAGGATGAAATTTCATGGGCAATAATGACTTTTGTAATTAAATGTGTGATTTTTTTCACACATATCTTTATTTAATTGTCCAGTTCAAGTATTTCAGGTTTTAACCAAAAGTGACAGCTGTCTTCCCTAAAGATAAGATAGTTCTGAATATTCCTGCATAGGCAGCAGAAGGTCTTCCAAATTTGACTAAATTATGTTGTCGTCTATAGCTAATATTGTCTGTCCACCTCCATCTGTAATGCCCAGTATTATAAATTATATTAGTTCACAGAGATCATCTCTATGTATTTATCAAAGCAATTGGCAGTTGATTCACAGAACAATCAAATTAAAGGAGATTAATTGGTGATAAATCTTGAAAATAATTGAGTTTCAACTTTATTTGGAGAAGGAATTTATGATAAATCTCAAAAATAGGTTTGTCTTGAATACCATACTGAATATCCAAAGTTGTGATTTTTAGCAGACAGTTTAAATGTATATTAACTCTGCAATTCATGCAAAGTAATGTTTCCTGAAAATTATAAGTTTGTGTTTTCACTGTCTCTTTTAAGTTTGAAAGACCGAATTGCTTGAATATGATTCTTCTGTATTTTATTATATGTATTATGCAGTTAAAGCTTACAAACTTCTTGCATAGTTCTGCCCCTGAAACTGCATACATTTGCCTTATTTTAACACATTTCCACTCAAAATGAAACTTTCATAAAATTATTTATGCAGGAAATTCCTTTTTTTTTTTTTTTTTTTTTTGTGACCTGCTCAGCATACCTGGGTGTGGGGCTGGCCAGGCATGTGGTGCCAGGGATTGAAGCCTGGTCCCCTGTGCCTGCCTAAGCTTGCCTATGCAGGAGCTTTAGATGCTGAGCTATCTCACCTGCTCTGGAAATTATTTTATTAAACAAATCTTTTATCTATTATTCATTTGGCACATGTTCTTGCTATGCATCTCTGATTCAGAGAGGTACTCCTGTCTCAGCCTTCCCAGCACTGAGATTACAGGATGGGGCACCATGCAGGTTTTAGTGGCCAACACAGTGTTGGGTTCCAGGATGAAATCCAGGTCCTTGCGCTTGCCAGACAGACACTTAGGCCGCTGAGATATAACCCAGATTATACAAGAAATTCTTTAAAGTTTCTTTTTAAAATATTCTCCCCCAAAATTCAACTTCTTAATATTGTTTTATTTTTCTGTTGTGTTCTGGAAATAATTGCACTTAAAATTCCATACTCAGTCATGAGCTTTATTGAACGTCTGTTTGTATGGAGTGACTTCCAAGCAGTCAGAGGTGCAGCATTCTTGTCTTAGTGATGGGAGGACTCAAACACAAAGGATGTGAAGAATGGGGAAAGTTTTATTAACAGAAAGTCTCTGAGAGAGAGAGGAGAGGTCCCCAAAGTGGATTGCTGCTAAGGCTCTTGGTCTTTTGTACACAGCAAAATCCCATCACAAGCTACCTTGGGTCAAACTATAATCAACCTGTAGGATTACAAGTATAGTCACTTAGCTGATGTTGATCTCAGGAAAAGAAGACACTTGACAAGGATACTTAGCATGGAGAAGATCAGAGGCATTTCTAGAAGAGGGAGAAGCAAGGGCCAGAATGTTCTAGTAGACTATGTACGGGTTTTCCAGGTCATTTATTCATCTGAGTGGCATGCAGCCTTAGTGGACCAGAAGGCCCTAGTTGTGGAACAGCTCTAGAATACTGTTAATCTCTGGGGGCCCTAGCCACTGCATATCCTTCTTACAGCCTGGGTTCACCCAGCTCAGCCATTTCCTGGCTTGCCTCCTCTTATTCTGATTCTCTCTTGGACCCAGGTCCTTTGTAGCTGCCCGTTAATCTCTATCTAACTTAGGAATCTACAACACCTGACTTCCATCACAGGAAAAGAATTTTCAGGATGTGTCAGTGAGAGTCTTAAAGAATGTATTAGGCAGAATATTAAAAATACTCAAAGAAATATTAAAATGTGCACCCTCAAAATGGAGAGAGGCTTTATAGCCTGCAGCTGGATATATTTATGGAGAATTTTATAGTAGAAAAAATTCTGGTATCTCGCTACTTTTGAATCTCTCCACCTAAGACTGTGTTAAGATGTAGAGGAACATCTAGATACACTACCAGCTATGATAACTACATAGTTATCATTTACCTTCTCATTTATGTTGAGAAGTAGCTTTCCTAGTTCCATTAGGATCCTTCCATTGCATTATCTTGCCACTAGTGAGTTTTTAATACCCATCTTGATTACTTTTATGATTAACGTGCACAAGGCATTCTGGATTGAAGTACACTAACAGTAAGTAATATAATGAAGATAGTGATTATGGTCTGTCAGTCTTTCTTCAGTTCGTTCTTTCCTCTTGTAGCCAAATAAGGAAAACTTATTTAAAAACTCTTCTGCATGAGTGGCTAGCGATCCCGTAGCCAGGAAATGGGGGAAAATGGGGTAGAAAGGTGGTAGGTTCTGCTTTAGGCTGCTTTTTTCCTATTTCTGAAAAGAGAGGCAGAACTTTTTTTCTAACTCTAAACTTTTAGAATATAAATGTATCGCTCAAAGGGCATACTATCCTCCTGGGTCTCCAGCTTTTATATCCTAGAGTTGTTTGAATTTCTCAGCTTCATTCTTTCTTGAAGTGTAAACATAATCCTCCTCCATAGCCAGGTAAACTCTTTTGGAGATCATGCTCCAGTCATACAGTTGTATATTAGCATTCTGTGTGTGTGTGTGTGTGTGTGTGTGTGTGTGTGTGTGTATTTGGTACAGGCTCTCACTATGCAGCTCAGACTTGTAGTGATCCTCCTGTTTTCAGCCTTCCTGAGCTGGGATCACAGGTGTGGGCACCACCATGCCTGTTCGTGGCGGCCGGCTCAGTGTACCTGGGGGTGGAGCTGGCACTGCCAGTCGTGCTGGGGACTGAACCCTTCTCCTCACACTTGCCTATACAGGTGCTTAGTCCACTGAGCTATTTTGCTGGCTGTAAATTCGCTTTTTAAAGGTTGCCTTTAGCCCAGCGTCTCAGCAAATTTAAGCAAAAGCCTCAGCTCTGCAGAAATATTGAAATATTTTCTCTGTACCTTGTGATGACAACATACAGGAAGGTTTTTAGTATGTATTATGTGAATCTTTTTTGTAATTTACTTTTCTGGTGCAAGTAAAATATAAAACTTTGGGATTACTACTTAGATTACTTCTTGATAGATACAGTGATGAGATTCACTTTCTTCTAAGGTTATACAAATAGGAGTCTGATGTTATGTTTGCAATAAATGTATCTACAATGCTGGCTTCACATTTCTGGTCTGGATTGTCAACATTGTTTTATGTGTACTGATCCATCATAAAGGTTGTAAATAACAAGCCTGGTGAAGACATACATAAGTGAGGTCCTGAGGGTCTCAAGGTCAGGCGTTTGTGACCCCAGGGAATTGGGACTCACCAACTCCTCAGACACGGATGTGCTCACCAGCCTGGAAGTTTCCAGGCCTCTGTAGTCCGGTGTTTTCATGGAAATGCCATGACGTGGCACAGCTGATGAAAGTGCTGACGATCAGTGGTCACTCTCACAAGCTCGCTCCTTTCCCTGGAAGTGTGAGTAGGCAGAGACTAACTTTTCCAACTCTCTGGTTGCACAGTTATTTCCTCTGGCAAGCAGACCAATTTTCAAGAGAGAGAGAGAGAGAGAGAGAGAGAGAGAGA